AATGAGTAATCTAACCTTTAGGCACTTATTAGTCCTGGTTTAGATCTTGTTCATTCCTAATTGTTTGATATTTTAATCCAGGTTTAGTTCTCAGTGATGTTGTAGTGTTGTATATTATGGGTATATCCTGTTATCAGATGAAACAAATCCCCAAAATGGTCATAAACATAAGAAAAAATGAAACTCAGTGATTTTGTTTTTAAGACGTCTTTATTATGAATCATTTGTTGACACATGCCAGATTCTCTCTACAGGATGGACTGAATAAACATATCCCCAGGGAGACACTGAAATGCGGCTCCGTGTCATGAGATCTTATGACCATGATTGTTTACTTATTTGGAAGTCGAACTGCATCAGTACTGGGAAAAATACGCGGACTATTACGGAATACTCAACTGGGAAGGTCACAGTGTCTGTACTGTATCTGATTTAACTTATAATAGTAGTTAGAAAGGTTTTGGCCTTAAAGAACAGTGTTATCAAATATACAATATATTTTATGAAAACCGTAATAGACAAAAGTATTCATTTTGGTGTGGATTTATTTTAGGGGACATATGAAATAGTTGTACAAGCTGTTCTTTACTCATCTTTATCTGAAGATTCATTGTGTATAGCCTTGAATCCTGTCTACATATAAGGAGTCCTCCCCTTTTGGAAACCATACATAAAAGTCCGACTATGCTTAAAGACACAGAACTCCAAATATCAATGGAGTATTTTACATATTTATTTTAAGATTTACATTGTCACTAACTCTAAAACATCATCATAAAAAGTGCAAGAAGTTCAAATCAAAGTAGTGTTGTTCTTAACGCTGGCTCACATCAGTGAAGGTTAGCTCTAGAAAACACATGGCAAAGTCAGTAGTTCCAACTCAAGCAGCAAACACCAGGACACTTTACAATTTTCTGAAAATGTGTCTGTACAATGATGACCCAGGAAAAGTTCTATGTGCAAAATAAGACTGTGGAGGTGGATTCAGAAAGCACTGAGTGATAAAAGGCAACAACCAACATGGCCACAAAAATGCAAGAAATAATGACAAAACTATTGTGTGTAAAATGACAAAGTGGCAAGCTACTGTATGTAAACAAAGAAAACAAACAAAAAATCTGATGTTCTATTTTTAAAGGTTCACTTTGTAACTTTTCTGGTAGAGGGTTTGCCATCTGCTTGGACATGTAAATGCTGCGCTCTGCAGTATGATATTCAGCTTTTCTATCTTCATAGAGACAGATAGAAAGAATACATGATTTTTGGAAGGTACTATATAATGCAAAATGGACTGTGAGCTTTAAGCCATGTTATAATGTTGTTACCTCCTAAAAAACATACCCGAAGTTGTATTTCATTCACACGTCTGAGTAATGCTTTATTATTACTCCGTCTACATCTCCAAAGCTCAAAATGCTCTGCTCCACCTTGTGATGTCATGAACTGGTAGTTTTCAAGGTTCAACTTTTACCTTTTGTTCAGAAGAGATTAACAATTCCTGGGCTGAGATCATCTATATCATTCTAGTGAAGGTGTATGGAGTTTAAAAGCACAGTGGCGCACTTTCTGCATTACCACATGACATCACAAGCTGAAATAGAGTGAAGAACCAAGTCTAAATATGCAGGGTTTGTGTGAATGAACTAAAACACAACTCCAGATATAATGTTGTATCCTCCTCACAAACATAACAAAGATGAGAGAACATCGTATCCTTTAAGGTATGTGGCAACTTGTGACTGAATATGTGCAAAATGGGCATCTTAAATGATATATTATGACATTCAGAGCAAAGAAATAATATCTCCTTGACACAAGCAGGTAACAGATCCCCCACCATAAAAGTTACATAGTGCATCTTTAACCCTGGCACATTCTGCAAAAGGCAAAACTTATATAAGAACATAACCACTGCACGGTCGTACAGCAGGACATGCAGGCATCTCTAAGGGTCCCAAAACGTTTCCTGTGAATAGTTTACAATATGGAGTTTGGTGATTTTTTTTTTTGACACATTCAAATGAAATACTGCACAGCTAATACAACATGACATTAGTTACAGCATCAAATATGTTTAAATGAATTAGTGTGGACACAGCTGGAGATGAGTGTGAGATTTAGAACGCACATGTATACGCAAACAGGAAGAGATTTCAAGTCAAGTACAAATCGTTGAAACGAAGAGTGCAGTAAGTCACTGGTGTGAAATTTACATATTCAAAGTGGTGTAAACGGACACACTGTACCTAAGCTCAAAGACTAGGCATGCATTAGATACTCAACATAGTCTGTTGTCCCACTGGATCATTCTATAGTTACGAACAGCAAAGATCTGTCAAATATTGTACAGGGGAAAACCAAACGTACAACTACCTGAGCTGCAGTTTTGGGGATTCTCTCTAGCTCACCAAAAAGCAAAACTTGAAGGATAAATTTGGAGTCCACACGTTACACTACAGTGAATTGTTATGCGAATACCTTTGTCCCATGACATAGCAACACATCTCTAAAAACATTCTTGAAACTCGTACACAGAGCTCTGTTTTGCATTTTAAATAAACATTTTTTTTACAGAGGGATTCCCTGATTATACAAAAATACAAAACGAAAACTGCTCTAACATACTTTACAAACACTGATAATTTGAGCAATTTTGGAATGGTCATTATTTGTTTGTAAATTGTCTGATGTCTTGCTGCTTTATAACCAAATTCATATATTGCTAGTTTAAACTTCAGCTAAAAGTCTTGTTAAAGAGGCCAGATTAAGACGTGCAAAATCAGGAAAACCAAAAGAAGCGAGATTACAAGCGTGTGGTGACAGGGTAACGTGATGGTGAGTATTAACAGGAACAGCCCCCTTCGGTCGTCTGTGGCTCCTGTGGTTTGTCCAGTTTGATGTCGATCACTGAAGAAATTGTTAAGGCATATAAGAAACTGTTGATAACAATGTATGTAAAAGAATGTCCACTAGAGGGCAACATTTCACGATTATCCTAAACACAATAGCAGAAAGTGCATTTTAGAGATACATTCATTTAAATACATGATCATTTGTAAAGAGCTAAAGCTGTCATGTGTTATTAATACACAACCTGAACAATGCACAATATAGGACCTGTACAAGATACAGAAGAAAAGGCTATAGGCTACATGCTATATTTTTGAATAATGAATTTTTTAATTGGGTCAAACAAGCACAGAAGTTACTACACCATCTCAAAACAGGGCTAGGATTGGGCTGCAACTTAACATTTATTTTAGTAGCCAACTTGTCAGCAGTTATTTTCATTCTATTAGTCAAAGTAAGTCAAGTTATTCTTTTAAATACATTTTGACCTGTTTCACAAAAGATATGTTATTTTTGTCTCATTTTGTTTTAATACTAGGGATGTAACAATAACTGAAATATCGTATTGTCAAAGTTCTCGCAATAATATCGTGGACCATCACATTATATCGAATTACAACTTTTTTTGCTTAAAATAAGAGTTATGGTGCAGCAATAGCTAAAAAAATAGACAGAGGGAACAACACAGACCATGATCGTTTGCTCCATTTCAGTTTAGACTACATGAAGAAATAACAGTTCTAAGCACTTTAAAGTCTTAGTTCTTTGGATTAAGTCTTGTCAAGGCATTATAAGAGGGAAAAATAGAATAACAGTTTTGTTATCCTCCACAAAATATCGCAATAAATATCATACCATGAGATGTATATGGTGAAAATATCGTACAGAGATTTAGATATTGTTACATCCCTAATCGTGAGCCTCTCCACCATATCGTGAGCTTTTCCACGGTATCGCAATAAATATCATACCGTGAGGTTCATACCATGACGATATCCTATCATGAGACTTGGATATTGTTACTCCCCTATTTAATACTTTTGCTTTTTTGTGAAAAGCAAACAGCATATACTACAATAAAATAGTCAGTGAATATTTCAGGAGCTGATTAGTAAGAAATTTTCAGCTCAGTCATTGCAACCCTGATTATTAAAGTTTTGTCCCAGTTATAATCATCTATCATGACTTTAACCTCTATCTAAAATGCAAATGAATTGAGTGCAAGAGACCAATTGTTTTTATATGTGATATTAAAGAGGAGTGCGACTGCTCCCTGCGCTCCCGTCCACAGCTGGGCTCAGGACTTGATCTGGATCCAGTCTCTAAATGTGCTTCTAGGGGAGAGAGGGCAACCAAGAAGCAGAAGTGCCCTCTACAGACCCTGACATCTCACATAAATCACTATGACCTACCTGTACCCAATTTAAAACACTAATGACTTCAAAAATGAGCTCCTCCAAAATTAAACTTAACCCCTCACCACTTCATTTGAGGAAAACTCTTTTTTTTTGTTAATAGCATATACAGTAATATTGTCGTCTTTTTCTCTAACATTACCAAAATAATAAAATCTGCCTCAGCAAAAATGTGTAATGAAATAGAATAAATAGAAATAAAACGTGTAATTTGTATAAAATAAAGTTAATGTTATGATATTGTGGAATAATCGAGGCAAGCAATAACATCTCTATGGTGACAAGTAGGTATTAGACCCCTCATCATAAATGTTACATAGTCTTTTCATTGTTAATATTGATCCTATTTTCTAGTTATAATATGTAAATTATACTTTTTTTAATTTTCTAACATAACTGATAGCATAGACCCTTTATTCCACCACCCAAAGACATGCATTTCTGTGTAAATTATTGAGTCTAAATTGAGAAAGACAACCTCGAGTTTAGATTCATAAAAAGATTCATAATTTAAGGGATAGAATTAGTGTTTTGCTCAAGTTACATTACTCCGTACTGCTAACAATCCCCTTTTAAATGATTATAGACCGGATGTAATATACAGTATGTCTCCCCATCAAATCACTTCCATCGGACACCTCCCTCTCCTCTCATCAGGACAAAGCTAAAACACAGGGGGAGCTATGAAGGAGATTGGTAGTGTGATTGATGTTATAACCAGGAAACACATATGACTGTAATAAAAGTCATAAAGCTAATCTCAAGGGAGCTATTATAATGATAAGTATAAGGCTGGACTGTTCATTTGAAACGGCCGGACCCTACAGTATCATAACCAAGTTACAGTGGGCAAATGGAGGTGGACAAGGTGATACTATACTGATAATAAATGTAGGTTTATGGTACAATAGCAAGATACCTTTAAGACAATGCATTTCTGATTTATGCTCTAAGTTTAAGCGATGTTTGTATTTTTTCAGTCCTATACTCAAAGTGTACATTTTATTATAAGAGCATACCTTTTTGTCCCGTTATAGGGCATTGTATAGATTTATGTGCTACCGTTCTGTTAATCTTTTGTGATCTTGACTCACTTCAAAAGCGTAATTTGATCTAGTGTATAGGATACTTCCTTCTTTGCTCGTTTCCTGCATACTCTCCATGCCGGGAAGAGCCGCCGCCACACGTCGAAACAACTGGGAAAATGAAATGCAATATGAGAATCTGTAAACACCATGGACCGTAAGTATATATATTCTTTATAAAATCTGTTATATACACACATTTAACATATTAAGATTGTCTTGCATAAAAGATTTGATTAGATTTAGCTAGTTTCTATTGATCTAATTTTGCCATCCCGACTAAATGCTACTAAACAGAGCTTTCTTTATGGTGATACTTCTTGATAAATGGAAATCTTATTCATTTAAAAGGAGAATTGGATTTTTTTGCAACTGATCCTCTGAGGGTTCTATGACTTTGTAGTGTGTACAGAGCTTATTTCCTGTCAAGATCAGCAGCCCCATGCAAAATAATACCACTCAGATGACTACGGCGCCAACAACAACATCTGGGTTAAAGTGAATATTATGACAGATGTTTTTACTGACATTTTCCCAAACTATAAATTAATTCAGTTTATTTCATAGGGACCGTACATAACAATGAACATAAATCGATCTGTAATGTTTGATATGTTTGTTAGTGAGCTCTATTCATTTGTGTTGCATTCATGTGACTGTTATCATCGTGACAACAGCCTCCTGTGTGAACTCCTCAGCAGCTGCACCATTCATCCACCACAGACACAGAGCATCACTTCTAATGAACCCAATGAACACTGGCTGTTTGTGTGAATGTGTCACTCTAAACAGATTGGCTTTTGTGGTTTTGGGCAAACTGTCAGCAGGCATTTAGCAACATCTAGCGGTAAGAACATGTAAGGCAATTAAGTTTGATCACGATTTTGGGAGGTAAAAGGGAATTTTAAAAAATGCAAATTTTAAGTATTTAATAAAACAAAAGCCCAACTCACCTGTTTGACATTGTAGCCTGTTTTGGCGCTGGTCTCTATGAACATGACGCTCAGCTCTTTAGCTCTCTGCTCTCCTTCTTCAATCGTTATTTGTCTGGGAAAAGATAATAATATTTTACTTGCTCCCCTTCATATTTTAGCTGCCATACAATAACAGTTGTACGGTAATTAGAAGTTAGTATTTCTACATAATACACTGTGACTGAAGTGTTGACAAATCCTCTATGTGCAGGGGTAGATTCAGACCACTGACCCTCTGGTTGCTGGACAAACACTAAACCCACTGTGCCTTTCCCACTCTGGGTCAGCTACATTAATGTATAGATTTAATTTCCCAGAGGAACATTAAATCATATAGCCAGGAATAATTTGTTAACTTCGAATGAACCTTTTTAAATGCACCTAAGTAATATGTTATTGTAATAAGCATGCTCTAAAACAGGAGTCTCAAACATTTTTCCTCCAGCAAGCTACTTTTACAAAACAAAAATACCAGAGAGTGACCTCTATAAGCAGTCGTAAAGAAGCTAAGTATATAGAAGAGCCTTGGCAAGCCTTAGACACCGAACAGTTAGATGCCTCTCTAAAACATAAATCATTTATCATGTACAAAATTAGGCATGAAAATGATACATTTACAATGGTAATGAATCATATTTTACTTATTCAGCACAATACATAGAATTCAGAAATCCCTTGGCGAGCTACTCTGAAGGGCGTGGAGAGCTACCAGGTTGGAGACCCCTGCTCTAACATCGTTGTCATACAGGACTTCCATTCAGCACATGTGTTCTTATGGCATTATTTTAATGCTAATTTAAAATACTTTATTCAGATTAATTTGTTTTATTTTGTATCTTCTATTGGAATAACTGTACTGTGTATTCATATTGTCCTACAAATCTTGTTCTGAATCTGTGATGTGTGGATTTAAGTAGACCTGTGTTTGGTAAAAGTGTACCTCTTATCCGCCAGATCTGTTTTATTGCCCACAAGCATAATGATGACATCACTTCCCCTCTCTGTTCTCACATCATCGATCCATTTGGTCGTCTGCTGGAATGAGTTCACATCTGTAGAAAAGAAAAGAAACTATCTATACTCACAAAACCCTTAAAAATAGATAGAATTATACAGAGGAAAAAACACAAATGCAGAAAAAGACTAATAATAATAGACAGATCAAACTATATTTCTGTTATTATGTACACAAAGTCTTCCAGTGCTGTGTAGCCTGAGAGATTTCATAAGCAGAGCACCTTGACCTTGGCGAGCTCATTAAGTATGCAGTCATGTCGGCGTGTTTCTTATTCTTGTCCTGGGAGTTTGACAGGACGATCCTACGCCCTCTTCAAGGTGAGGGGAGTGTGTGCTTTGATTTCCATAATCAGCAATGAGATATATTCCACTGGGAATCCTTTAAAGTCTATTTAACTGTGAGGTGGTTTATATGTTTCATTGATATGCAGCTGTATTGGGCACATGTCATATTAAAAGCCAAGCATCAAATCTTATACTTAAACAACTGGTATATGTGACTTTGCTACATGATTGTGAAAATGCTGAATTTAAATGTACAAAATAGATTCTTGTGTACAGTATATGTCCTCTGATAAACTAGGGTTAGATGACAATTGACTAAACCAGACTGAATAATAAGAGCCAGTAATCACTATTATTTACACAAATTATTGTCATCAAGTAGAACTAAACAAGGAAAACAGTCAGCAGGGGGCAGCAGCAACACACACGATGGTGTAATAAAATCAAATGGACTTTGCTAAACAAAGAGAGATGGTAAAATGACTAGATTGTTGATTAAACTATAAAAAATTACAAATATGGGAGGAATTTCTAATGTGAAGAACCACTTTTACAATAGCTGCCTTGAAAATAATGGTAGAAAGGAGAATATAGCATGGTTACCTTCAAATGATAAAATTGTTGCTTATACAAACTTGACTATTTACGCGTGTATCTAAAGTAATACTGACTTGTTATGTCATAGACCACCACGGCCACAGTGGAGTCACGGATGTAACTGGGAATGAGGCTCCTGAAACGCTCCTGTCCCGCTGTGTCCCAGAGCTGCAGCCTCACCTGGGGAAGAAGGACAGACAATGCAATGTAAGGCTAAAACATAAACTAATATGAATAAAGTCTTTGGCACTACTGAGCTAACAAAACAACCAGTAGTATACCAGAAAAATAGAAACAATGGCAATACGTATGCCAGTACACACATATTTCCAACACACGAATGTAGATGATCACAAATGCTGACCTAACCCTTACCCTAAGAAAGGGATAGTAGGGCATTTTAGTGTTAAATCAATAATATAATAGTATTGTTTTAATAATAGTTTGTTGAATAGTTAATTTCTATCAGTGCTAATCATTCTGTTCTCAAGGGACAAGTTCTGGCTCATAACGTCTCGGGACACTAGTGAATATGCACACACATGGAGAGCTCAACTACTTTCTCATCAAAGCCCTGGCACCTCTACACATCAAAGGATAACGCCCATCTCTACGATGAGAACTTTGACCTGGAGGCTCTGATCTGCCCCACACCCACAGGAGGCATTCAAGATCCAAAGGAGACCCACATCAGGACTCCTCAAACCCTGAGGAAAGAAATCTAGTCCAGGAATTTACAGCTCTGGTCAGGGCGCTGCACAAAGAGTTGGAGTGGACAAAGGCCAAGCTTCAGGGTCCAAAGAAGCTTTGTTTTGGACTGCCAGCTTAAGGCTGAGGAGAAGATGGGCAAAGAAAAGGCCTTGGACTTGGACTGCTACTTCTCAGAAGAAGGACAAAGAACTCCAAGACCTAAACGTACTGCACATAAGTTGCTCTGGTACCTGTAGGATTATACAGTCATGGAATAGTTAAACAAAAAAGACTTTGACTTGCAAAAACTCACTGATACTCTTTGGGAGAAGACAAGCAACTACAAGGAGAGGTTAGTGCACATAAGGAGCCCTGGTACCTGTATAATTCAAAAGTACAGAAAAATGTGCAACTAAAACAACAGCTTGCCAACTCCAAAATAGTCATGGAAAGACTAAAGGAAAAGACATGGAGTTGAAAGAGCTCAAAGCCACTCTCTTGAAGAAAGAGAAAGAGCTGGAAAAACCAAGTTAGTGCATACAAGGAGATAAGATATATATCTGGATAATAATACAGTGAGAGACATAGCTCCAACAAGAGCTGGCCAGTTATTTATAGAGTTTTTGTTTTATATAAAAAAATTAAATACTGCAATAAAATAGTTTGCACTACAACTTATAGTTATCTAATATCTTCATCTCATATCACGTGGCCCTTAAAGAATGTCAGACAAAACATTGTATTCAAGTACTTTATAACTTCAACCCCGCTCTATCTGACTTTGAGACCCCTGATATAGATGATCAAATGTTCTCTGCAAAGAACAACATTTTCAGTTTTTGTGTAGAAATGTTTTAAATGTAGTTTAGACCTCTACAAACATCTTCTGAAATGCATGAGACTCTTGGATAAGTTTATCAATTCATATTTCAGTTTTCTCTCAAATGGTAATGCTCCTGGACTTCTTTTCAATGTAGTGTAATCTTATTTTTAAATCTTACTTTTGAAGCATAAGTGTCAAATCTAATCACAATTGCAATACTTTCAACTTTTAATTCAACTTTTTACCAAAATCCTGCAGCTCTATACCAAAGGAAACAAATTTACCATCCCATTCCAAACCACTGACTTATATCACTTAGAATAGATTATCCAAGCGATTTTACAACATACACATACAACACAGTTATCCCATCCATCAGCCATAAACCAGATGCCCTGTGCTATTGCTCGGAGCGGGACCCTGTGATGACACCTCCAAGGTCAGGGTGCTGGGGGCCCCTCATGATAAAGAGCTCTGAGACAGCTTTGATTATTACACAGATCACAGACTGCAAATCTAACTTATGTATGCACCACACACACTCTACTGTACGTGCACATACCGTCCGGTCCTCCAGGTACATGGTTTTGGACAGGAAGTCAATGCCGATGGTCGCCTGGGTGAGAAAATAGAGAGAGAAAAGGGTCAGGGTCAAGGATACACTTTATACATTTGAATGCTTTAAATGCCATGGAGTTTTATGTTCATATGTTCTCTTTAAAAAGGTCCTACATAATGCAAAATTTACCTGTGTGAACTTTTAGCCATGTTATAATGTTGTCACCTTCTAAAAAACATATCTGGAGCTGTGTTTTGTTCTATTCACACATTACCCTGGAATTAGGGCTGCTTGATTATGGAAAAAATAAATAAATAAATAAATCGCGATAATTTTGGTCAATATTGAAATCACGATTATTCAAAGGATTATTTTTTAGTTCCAGGATGCATTTATTCAGCATTTCTCTTTCTAAAACAATCAAACATCTTGATAATTTACGCAAAACTTTCAAATTGAAAATAAATATAGGTTACAAATATGTACCTTAGAGCAATTTTGTGATGATGTATAAAACATAAAATGAATAAAATATACTTTGAGCATGAAATAAGGCATAGAATATAAATGTATCCAAAATAAACTATATATCCAGCTGTTCTACAATCTCTATATTTAAAAAAGAAAATATATATACTTATTTATATAAAATATCCCAAAAATAAACTTTGCCAAGCTTAAATTGTCTCAACTTGATTATATGAGTTTGGGGATCAAAATTGCGATCAAAATTCAATTAACTGCACATCGTTACCTGGATTAATAGTCTGTCCACATCTCAAAGCTCAAAATGCTCTGTTCCACCTTGTGACATCATGTAGTGATAGCTTTTAAGATAGAATCTTTTACTTTTAGTTCAGTTTTAGTTGACAAGTTCTTCAAGGCTGAAATTACCCAAATGATTCTAGTGAAGGTGTATTGAATTTAAAAACACAGTGGAGCACTTCCTGTCTGATCACATGACATCACAAGGTGGAACAGCGTGTTTTCTGTTTGAGAGAAGAATTTTGGGTTTTGTCGGTCTATAGTTTAGTTATAGTTTTATTCCTCTCACATTTTAGAGCCATTTTAGTCCCATCGTTTTGAAGCTTTCTTAGCCCTGACTGTTGTCTTGTTTAGTCATGATGCTCTACACAGCAGATCGCAGTGGCCCATCTGTGAAAGCAGGTGGGAGTTTTGGATGATGGTCATCTCCGCGGGGAGGAGGAAGAGGAGGAGGAAGAGGGGGGTATTTTCTTTCTGACAGTTCTGACATCAAACTGTCCCTCCAGCACTGGTCCAGCTCAGACTGTCACTACCACAGGATCTCAGCTAAACCAAGAAAAGCAGGCGGCAAACTAGGAGTAATCCCAGTATTTAATCAAGAATGAACCTTTCTCTAAACCAAGATTTACCCTGAACAAAAATACTACTGGACTATTTTGACTGGATTAAAGAAATAAAACTGGAACCAGGGGTGAAACTGAGATCAAACTACGACTTTAAACCATAGACTCCATAAAGAAGTGGACTAACGAAGTGTGTGTTTTCTTGTTCTGGTGTTTGTGTTTATCCTCAGCACGTTACATTGCCTCCAGCATCTCGGACTACTGATCTTTCGGAACAATGGGTTGATCCCGTAGTGATGTGTAGAAAACATGAGAACAATTTAGCTAAAATGTGGGAACGAATAGCTTAAAACGTGAGAACGAAATAGTACTTTGAGGCCAAGATTTAGTATCTTTTTTCCACATATGTTATCAGGCGGGCTCCCTATAGAACAGGTTATTATGACCATTTTAAAACCAAAATGACGAGCAGTTACAGAGGGGTGACAGTTTTTCAAAGTCAAGTCAATTGGAAACAGAATCGATGGAGCCAGAAGCGCCCAAATGTTCACTTCCTATTTGGAACGCAATGGCTAGCAGGTTAGAAGTACACATTTATATATGCAGTCTATACTTCAAACAGACCTGAATTTAGGACTAGCCAAGGTTAAGATCAGGATTAGTAACTAAACAAGTACTAAAACCATGATCAGGGTAACACAAAAGAACCAAAACCCCAGGACTAAACATGTCCTCTACAGTGGACAGTGAAAAAGCCTTACAGTGTTTGACTTTTCTAATGGCAGTGAGGTTGTGTTCTGCTCTCTAAATTTAGCGTCCCACACAGACGTCACATGAAAAGATTAGATGGTGAAGAAATTATTCATGTAACTTTTTAATTATTAACCTGCACATATCTTTAGAAGACAGAGCTCCACTGTAGCATACACTGGAAATGAGTGCGGTTAATACCTTTATCTGATCTCCTATTCTACTGAATCATTAGATATTATTAAGTTAAATCTATATATTTCTGTTTTTTGGTGAAATATTTAGTTCTATGTTGTAAAGAATAAAGCAAATAAAAAAGTCAGTCTGGTATATATTTATATAACCTTCCATCAGTCCCTTGTTGATGTTTCACAGTAGGAATTATACGTATCCATCTTGCATTTATTCTGTAACAGGTGTTTTTATTGCCTAAAAATATTTTGGAAAAACATGCATTCTTATTGTGAGCAGTGTCGATCTGGTCTGTAATTTCACATCACCTGCTTGTCTCCATCCAGATAGATTAAAAGTTACGGCCATGGAATGTTCTAGGCAGAGTAGTAGCAACATCTCCAAGGACAAACCAGAAAAGCTACATAATGACCTTTAAGATTTTGATATGGCCAACCCAAAAAAAATCCATCCATTTGCAAAAAAAAGCATGCTACATTTAATAAAGAATGATATATGTTTGTTTTGTAAACTTTTAGATCTAGTATCCAGAGTGTTTTTATGTTTTTAAATTAGGGGATTAAATACAACATTTTAACATTACAAATAGAAACGACTCAAGCCTTCACAGTTGACAAAGCCAAATTGACTTCATGCTTCATTATTCCTCTGTCATCTCTTGGCGTGACAGAGCTGACAGTTTAATTGCTGCCCCATGTCTCTAACTCCATGAGGAACGCCTCACCAGGGCCGCTCTCAAGCTTCCGCCGCCAAATTGACTGTAAATGTGATGGGAATGTTACACAGAAAATTAATATTGGATTCACTGGCTTGGACTGTGGGCTTGGAGAGGGGGGTTCAATTGAATAGCTAAATAGAAATGGACATTAGAACTTTAAAATAAATTGCGTTATGTAAAGTGTGCTATGTGCATTTTCTGATGTGAAGTCCGCCACATCCTTGTCTCCATGGAGATGTTATTGGACTGCCTGCATGAGACATTCCATAATATGGCATTAAACTCTCTTGCATCTATTCACGTACAGGCTTTTTATTTCTCAAAAAAAACTTGAAAATTTTGTGGCACAGTGGTGTCACTTGCTTGTTTTATTGCCCTTCTTCCTACGGGATTTGGGAAAAGCTTAATATACCAGTTAGCCCCGTTAATGGCGCATTACATACATCACGACCAAATAGCAACGATTGGTTAAATGATAAAAAGTACCCGCCTACCGTCGAGCAAAAGCATTCTAACGCTCCGAGGTCAGACGGTTTCTGCGAAGTGAAACTGGTTGATGAATCAGGCTAATTCTTTGTAGCATTCTAGGCTAGAAATCTTCATGGAGTCAAACTGTTACATAGTCCACCTTCCCCTTCTTCGGCCAGTGCCAATCATACAATCTCTGCTGAAGGTAAAGTGTATTGCTCAAAGACACACCAACAAAAAAACAAAACAAATGAGAAACAAAAAGAGAAAGGAAAAAAACAAAAGAGAAATGGAAATTGAATTATAAATTGGCCAAAATATAAATATAAATATAAGGGGGCCAAGCAGTATGGTTATACAGTAGTACCACATTACTTTTGTTTTATTTAATTAAATTTGTGTGTGTGTTTTGGGGGAAGGGGTGGGGTAGTTTTGTTGTAGGTATTGCTTTATGTTTTTGCATTTAGTTTTATGTTTATTATTGTATTTTATTAAATATTATATTCTATTGTCTTTAATAATAATAATAATTTTAAAAAGGCACACCAACAGTATGAACAGACTAGAACCAGATTATTTTGAGTTGAGTTGGTACACTAGATGTCTTCCCTTTTATAAATCAGTCATACATCCTTGGTCTCGAAAGGGCAATGTTGGTAAACTGCCTTGCCCGAGGACACAGCAACAGTTATCGCTCCAGCAGGCATAGGTTTTGAACACTCAACGCTTTGTGCCACTGTCAACCCCTAATGCAATAAGTGAATAAAATAGCAGCCGTTCTGGTAGTCTTCCCAGGGAGAAGCAGACAGATGTGTCCCGGGCTGCAGGCTGTCTACTCTGACTGACAGCTCCTCCAGTTCCCTCCGGACCCCATCACTTTTTAACATGCTCTGCCACCCTCTCTTCGTTCTATCTTTCTATCTCTCTTTCTCCCGCTCTCTTTCATTTCACCACTCCAGCGGACAAAGTGAAGCAAATCTCCATCCCTTCCAGTAGACCACAGCCAGTGGCATGCTCGGTAGCCATCGTGATGCACCGTGGATTTGGCAGGATCTGTTCTAGCCGGTTGGATAAAACAAAAGCGTGCATCACAAAACCCCAAAAGTCCCCTGTCCCCCGCGGTGATACGTTGGAGCGTAATCTTCTGCTCACTGGAAAATGGAGCGTCCCTCTGAGCTGTACAAACAGTGACGGTGAGCTCATGGAGGCAGACTTTTCATTTAGGCTCAGCTCCAGTGAGTTTAGTGAGGATTTGAAAATGCTTCCTTGCATCATACAGAGATTCTGACACAGATTCCAGATTTATGGTTACAAGTTTAACATTTGCAGGGTTATTTCTATATTTTATTTGATACTTTTGTCTGAGTTTGTTTATTACACCTGATTGTTTCAACTGCTCAATTGCAATTTTCTTCAGAGTAGCCACATGATCAGGGCAGCGGGGGAGTCTTAAAAGTCTTAAAAAGGTCTTAAATTTTATGTTCCTAAATCAAGGCCTTAAAAAGTCTTAAATTAAGTCTTATTTTTTTCACAAAGGTCTAAATTTCATTAGCCTATTTTTGTATACTCAACTGGGCTGCAGTGCAATGTGAAATGTCTAA